CCCTCGGACTCACTGACTGCCCTTTTCTGTTCCTCGAAAGTGCCTCAGGCCTTCCTGTTTGGGGGTCTTGACACTTACTTCATACTTCCCTCTGCTCCAGCTTTTAAAATGGCTAAGTCCTTATCTTTATCATCTGCCTAAATGCCTCCTCTCTCAGGAAGCCTTCCCTAACTGCCCTATCTAAAGTAAGTCCTCTCTCTGATTCCTTACACAGCCCCTGAAGTTTTCCTTTGTCCCAGAGCCTAGAAAAATGCCTGGCATAAGGTGGGCACCAGGGATCAATCATGGCTGCCATTGCCTAGGGGAGGAAGTAGTTTTTCCGGAGGCGAAATGGGCCTTTAATGGATGAATAGAAGTGTGCCGGTTAAGGAAGACGGGTGGAAACTTTAATCCAGGTGGAGGGAAGAGCCTGTGGAAAGGTCTAGAGTTCGACCAGGAGAGATTCCAGAATAGCAGGACAGTCAGAGGACACTCCACACCTGGCTGGTCTGTCGAGCTTGAATCTCCGTGAGTTTTCACAGCGACAGGTGACAGCGCTGGGTGACCAGGAAGCTAAAACCTTTCTCTGCTGACGGATCGGGCGGAAGAGGACCAGAGCAGGTGGGAAGAGGGAACAAGGGGAGCTCGGGAGCAGGAAAGTGGGGTTGTTCACGAGAAGTTACAAAAATGACGAGTATGACTGACAGGATCGCTAATGTTTATCGAGTAACCGACGATGAAACCTACGTAATGTTAAGGGCACCGATTTGGCCGGACCCCAGCTCTGAGGCAGGTGCTCTATCCCGTGACAGAGGGAGACACGGAAGCGCGTCACTGAGTTCGTGCCCTTCCGATGCCCTCGAGCAAGACGGGGATCCGTGGCGAAGAGGGGTGAGAAGCAGCCGTGGCCGGACGCCCATCGTGCTGGGGCAGGCGTGGCGGGCACGGCGTGACTCCGGACCCCATGCTTCCGGCGGTGGCTCCCTGAGCCTGGATCGCATCCGGGTGGGTGCAGCACCCAGAGTCTGGCAGCAAAGAGATGGCGCACTCGAATGCGGGACCTGGAGGGTGAGTCGTGAAGGGACAGCTGCGGCAGGGTTAAGGGAGCCCGGAAGGGAAGGTGCTGCGTCCCAGCATCTTGAGGGAACTGACACCACTTCAAGGCCCACGGGGCCAGAGGCGAGAGTGGATTCTAGAGCCCAGAAAGGGAGTTAGGGGACATCTAAGAGGGGACCGTGGGTAGGGGCTCTAATAGCGAGACACAGCCAACCCCCAGTCACGCGCGGTGGCCCAGGACACCCCTCCACGCCCCTCCTCCTGCCTGGGCCTCCCACTAGCCAAGTCGAGATGGAAGCTGGGGGCAAAGGAAGCCCATGGACACAGCGGCGCATAGAGCTCAGGGCGGGGGACGCCAGGGAGTGGATCCGAAGAGGTGAGCGGAAACCACGATGTGTGCTCTGGAGCCAGCGGTCACCCAGCAGCCCCGGGGGCCAGGCAGGGGCAGCCGGCCCTGCGTAACATTCAGAGTCGTTGCTGGGGGACCTGTCTCCAGCCGGCTCCCCCAGGCTCTGCGATCGCCTCACTTCCTGTAATCCATCTCTTTCTGCTTCAGCACTAAAATGGTTCCAGTTATCTGCAACTGAAATCCGGTCGATAGAGGATTTGTCACCGGAAGCCGTTGCAAGTGACGTCTCCTCAAGGACGGGAATCTGCGGCCGGTTACTCGTGCTGGTTGATTTCAAGGCAGCGGGGATCTAATGATCACCAGAGTGGCACGTAGTAGATGGTGGCACATGGAGACAACACAGTCACCTGTAATCGCCCGGAACTCAGTACCGATTAAGTCCCCGGCTTCGGCTTCTACGCGCGATGTGATAAGCACGGTTTATTCAAGGTCTGTGGCTGTGTTTGCTTTTTATCATCACCCCAAAGAGTTTTTAAAAAGGAAAGAACAGTCTTCAGTTCAAGGCCTGTTTAAAGCACCAGGGTTTCCCTGTGGCGGCCCTAGAAGGACCTCTTTTCTCTCGGGGCTGCAGGGCCCAGGGAGCTGGGAATCAGATGCAGAGTCCTGCATGGTTCAGAAGCATGACAAGGATCGGATTCTAAGACTGGAATCGTGACCTGCAGATTAGTCCAGGGACCCCGGCGTGAATCCTCGCCCCCCACGTCCGACAGGACAGACACTCCCCGCCCAGGACCCCCTGCGATGCCCTCTGTCTTTCAGGGGGATGCTAATTCTTCTCCTTCCCCACCCCCGTCTCCCCTCCCGGCCCCCAGACTGATAACTACAGTCAGTTCCAGACTCTCCTGGGGGATAAGCACAAAGTTTGGCCTCCAAGGAGAAGGCTTGTATCTTTTCTTTTTAAATTTGCGAATGTTCGCTAACTTACGCCAGCAAAGCAAGGCTGTGACGGAGCTGGGCCCGGAACACACTCTTCGATGGGGCCACTTGCACGGCTGGAGGGGCCGTGGCCGCAGGCTTAGGGAAGAGCTGGGGGGCGGCCCTTCGCTGCTTGCTAGGTTGTTCCTGAAAGTGGACTCGGCCTCGGCCTACGCTGACTGAAAATGGGATGTACAGTGCACAAAGATAATCGGGAGCAGCTGTCATATGTCACGCGACCTCTCCCCTGAGAGGGCCCGGAGGACGATGGGGATGTATGCAGCCACACTGCGGTGGCCCAGGCAGGACGTGGGAGGCGCTGCCACCGGAATGGGCGCCCCGGTTTCAGTGGAATCGAGGTCATTCATTCCAAGAGGGCAGAGGCCGAGGGGCGGGCTTTATTTTCCTACGGCAAGGTTAGCTTTTGCTGCCTTGGAGGGCCGTGCATGCAAATTCAAGGGGTCGCGGCTAGTGACCTTTCGGGGGTCTGTCGGGCTGGACACAGAGGGGTAACCCCTCCCAGACGGAGTTTAAGTTGCCTGCACATCTTACGGCCAAGATGGAGGCGCGGAGCTCGAGGGCACGTTAACCGTGGGGCTCAGCTCTGATCCCTCTGCCTCCAGCCTCCATTTAAGTTGCTGTGTCTGCACATCTTATGGCCAAGACGGAGGCACGGAGCTTGAGGGCACGTTAACCGTGGGGCTCATCTCTGATCCCTCTGCCTCCAGCCTCCCCGCCACATCACCCGCCCTGGCTCCCTGTCCGCCCGGCACTTGCCCCGTCTGCACGATCTTGCCCGCCTCCCCGAGTTGTCCGCCCGCCCCTCTGCCCTCCAGTGCCCGAGGCAGCAGCTGTGCCCACCTTGGGTCCCCGCTGCACCCCAGGCCCTAGCTCGACACTTAGACAATAAACATTGACTAAACGACTCTGTTGGGCTCAAGGCAGTCCCCACACGCCTGCCCCAGGGCAGAGCCTCGACCCACCGGCCGGTGAGGACAGTAACGATTTATTACACCCCCGAAGAGTGGATGTCCATTTAAAATGAAACCTGACAAAACCTGAGCTTCCCAACCACGAGACGCTGTCTTTGCTGAAGGAGCCACAAGTTCCGGGCTCTGCGGTGGCGATGATGCGCTCAGGGACAGTGCCCAGCTGTCCCCTGCCTGGGAAAGGCTTAAAAGTGATAAGCTCAGAAGGTCCTTTTCTTTTCTGAATTCTCAGATCCTATGAATTCTGCTGAAGGCAAGTGGCCACGTAATGCCACCGTTCCTCAGACACTGGCCACGAGGGACCCTGACCAGGCAGAGATCCCACCCCCAGGAGAGGCCGAGTTTGGAAGCTCTCCTGGGAGCATGTCACATCAGACCAGGGCTGTCGCCCAGAAGAATGGAGGCAAACAGCGTTTATGAAAGACGAAGGAGTAGAGCACGCGAGGCCGCCTCCCGCCCCGCCCGCTCTCACGGCTCCTTCTCCAGGTCCTCGCTGTTCCTCCCCCCTCAGCTTCAACTGTCCCCGGCCACGCCCTGGACCCCTCCTTGTCCACTTCACCCTGTGAATTATCTACATGCTGTCTCTCTGTCTCCACGGTTCCAGGGCAGCGGCGTGGACAAACCAGACCCTCGGTGAATGTCCCCCGAACAGGACAAACCAGAAGAGTCCTGGAAGGTTAGGTGCCATTGCTGGCCTGAAAGAGCCAACATCGCAGGAAACAATGCTTTATTCTAATCAATATGAACAGATGATCTGACCGAACGAAACCGCAGGTTGGCACAGGCCGCCTCAAGGGCCCAGCGATTTCTCAATCTCAGCATGATGGATGGACGTTTGGGGCCGAGGAACCTGAGCTGCATATTATGAGATGTTTAGCAGCAACTGAGGAACCCCCTTCCCCAAGTGACAACTCAGACTGTCTCCAGGCATTGCCAAATATCCCCTGATTTTGAAGGAGGGAGGGACGAATTTGGAAAGTATGGGTTCATTAACTCGCCAGCAGTCCCATGGGAACAAAGCCGGGTTTGAACCCGAGCGTTTCTCTGAAGCCGTTTTGTCATTTTGGGTATTTTTAAAATAGCATCGCTGCCTTCCTCTCCAGGCTAGCATGCATTAATAGTCAGCATCTCAACATTTCATAGAGAAAAGTTCCGTGCGCCTAAAGCCTCCCATGACTTCTGCGGGTAAGGCTGACGGCAGGGCCAGCGTGGAGCATGAAGATGTGGCCACCATGGGGGCGGTCACCTAGGTGTCCCTTGTCCCTAAGTGCAAGGAGCCCCCCTCCCTGGAGCAGCATTTTATCAGGCCACTGCCCGCTGGCGGCTCCCACTCTGGTTTGGAGCCAGGCGAACGGGCTGGCTCGCCCCACCGGCGGTTCTTCACTGGCACTCGCCTGCCCCCGTGACCGTGCCCCTCTGTTCCCGGTGACTTCTGCCCGTGAAACCCTGGGCCACAGCCCATCGGGGCCCCACTCCACACCGGGCCGGGAGCTGGCTCCTTAACCGCTTCTCCGTCTGAGCAGGGCTGGCACAACCCGCTGACCGCCCAACGCACGAAAGAAAAAACCAGGGCCAAACGGAAGTGGACGACGGCCCCGGGCGCACGAGCTCCTCACTGAGTCAATCCCAGCCCCCCGCTCGCCCCGCAAGGCTGCGCTCGGGCCGGCCCGCAGCGCACGGGGCTTCCCGCCGTGGCTGGGCGGGGCGGCTCGACCACACGCCAGGGTTCGAGCGGCTTTTATTTAATATCCAGAAGTCCAGAGTACACGTCGCTTAAAACAATGGAAAAGACAATGACGTACTGGCTCACAAAGGGGGTGACAAAAGGGTTCGGTCGCTTTAAAACGACGAAGCTCTTTGTCACATCCAATTAGGACGTGAGGGCACGTGGGGGCTGGGCTCTGTGCTTCCTAAGACCTGTGGTTGTTAAGGGGTGAGGAGAGCTGCAAGGAGGTACCCCAAGGCCAGCGGTGGAGGGGGCGACACGCCCAGGAAGGATGGAAGATGGGGAATGAGTCTCACTCGGGCCTCACAGCGCCTGAGGTCGCTTTCATTTAGTTCCTGTGGCTACGGGTCCCTCGTCAGAAAAAACAATTCACCGAAAATGTGGCTCAGCTGAGGAGGAAAGTTTCCAGAATGTTCCGGAATTAAGGTTTTTCTACTACCCAACTTACTCCAAGAAGATGTCCCAGGACCCCTGACCCTGGAACCCACGCCCAGACAACTAGTGTCCCCAAACCAATAGGGACGATGGGTCGATCGCACAGGAGGACTCGACCCCCACAGCAGAGGTCACCCCGACTTCCGTCCTAGGAACTGGCACCCCTGAAGCATCCGTCTGGGCCATGCTTTGAAGTCTGATCCACACCGGGCAGTGAAGGCAGGACCACGAGACCTGCACAGCACACGGGGTCCTCCCCTGGCATGCAGAAGGCACACCTGCACCTTCGACCCAACTTGAACAATGAGAATTTGGATAAAAGAACCGTGGCCTTAAACCGTCAGCAGAGTGAGGCGAACGTGCCGTATAGTTTCCCCACGTCTTGCAATTCCTTTCTCCCTCCTGCTGGAAACACGGGGGCATGAAGTGGGCTCCTGCCTCTGGAAGCTCAGCGTCGCCCCCCCCTCCTCGTGGAACCACTTCCTCCCTTCCCTGCTGGGACCTGGTGCAGCTCCCACCTGGGCTGAAACCCCCAGGGCTCTGTTCTCTTTCCAAATCCCGACCTCGCCTCCTGGGCGCCCCCCGCCCCGCTGCCCACGGCTCCCCATGTGCTGTGGGCTCCCTCACGAAGCCCACTGTGACCCGGCCAGGTGGGTGGGCCGCCACCGGCCCCGGGCGCTGTGATCGTGTCTGCGATTCGCGTGGCACAGAATGCGCCAGCCTCGGCCGCTGTGTCAACGTCATGCTTTAATGTCACTCATCCCGCAGGAGACAACATAATGCCATTTTAATTATTTCTTTCCCCTGCTGAGAAACCACCGCCATCAAAACGGCTCTTCGGAACCCATCCCCAGCCTCGAAGCAGCCGGCGGAGACAGAACATTAAACTCTTTTTCAAATCTTCAGCTTTGGCATTCAATTTAATAGGAACGACTTACTTAACAGCTCTGATCTACAGCAGGGGGGCCGGAAATCGGAGAGATGAGAAAGGCCCCAGGGAGACTGCTGTGCAGGGGTCCCCAGGGTGTCGGCACATCGTAAACCCCAGCTGGGGAGCTGGGAAAGGAGCTTGGGGCGTTGCCACAGCGCAGGACCCGCCTGGGACCCCGCTGATGGATCCCCACCTCTCTCCTGAGCCAAGGTGAGCAAGGCGTGAACAGCATTCCTTTACAGGTACCCCCCAGGGAGAGGTGCCAGTGGGGCCTCCGGAGGCTAGGACTCCAGCTCCTGGGGGAATCAGATAAACACCTCGTCTCCCTGTTACAGGCTGCATAGGGTCCCCCCCAGAATCCATCTGTTGAAGGTCTGACCCCCAGCACCTCCGAACATGACTGTATTTGGAGATGGGTCTTTAAAGAGGTGATTAAGGTTACATGAGGTCATTGGGGCAGGCCCTAATAAAATATGACCTGTGTCCTTATAAGAGGCGATCGGGACAGACACACACAGAGGGACGACCATGGGAGGACACAGGGAGGAGATGGCCATCTACACGCCGAGGAGAGAGGCTCAGAAGGAACCAGCACTGCTGACCACCCCTTGACCTTGGACTTCCGGCCTCCAGAACCGTGAGACATAAATGTCTGTCTAAGCCCCTCAGCCTGTGGTGCTTTGTTATGGCAGCCTCAGAAAACGAATATATTCTGCTTTATAAAAGTTTTTAAAACTGTGTCCAGTCGCAAACGGGGCCCGAGATGGGGACTTCTGGTGGGGCGCAAGCTGCCTCTCAGAGCCGGCTTCGGCCAGTCCACGGTAGCAAGACATCCAGAAACGCCTTCAGCACGCCCTTCCCTCCGCGGGCAACGGCGGCCGGGGTGCCTGGGTCTCGGACGTGTGCCCCAAAACTAAATGACAGCGACACGGAGAGGCCACGAAGCGGGAACGCGGGGTGAGCGTTCTTGTCACAGCAAAAACCTCCGGGACTTGAGAGATCGTAAAGCTGCAAAAAGCTTGTTACTAAAAAGGCCCGGCTTCCAAGGACAGCCCTCGGGGAGATTCCGCCAGAATGCGGGCCGAGGCGCCTTTCCAGGGCCGGGCGGCCGTCCCCCGGGCCTGTTCCTTCCCCTCGTTCCATCCGGGCCGACGGCCGCCGATGCAGCACCCGGTGGGGCCCAGGTGAAGCCAGGCCTGTGCCGGTGTGCAGACCCCGCATTTCCGGTTGGCGAGGAGGT